TTAATAAAAACTAACAGTGTCTTTTCTTTTCACTGAAGAAACTAGACTATATGGCACACTCCTTATTAATATCTTTGGTAGCATTAGTCTATGAGATCTCTAGGAACCACCGGGATTCCAGTACTGTTAACCACTGGCAGGTATTAGCACTCATAGTGTAGACAAGTGAATTTTCAGCTGTAGGTTGCAGGAGCACAGTGGACCTTGTAAGAGTGAGCGTCTTTGTGCCAAGGAGCTCTGTTTATGGTTTTGTTTTACTTTATTTTGTGTGTAGGTTTACCTTATCTGAAAATTTACCAAGTGAGGTAATTTTAAGTGTTTAGAAAAATTGTCACTAGGTTATGGGTTGTCAGATGCAACAAGCACACTCACACTTTCCCAGGGTTCCCATTATGTCTGAAGTGTTGCATTGGACATATTTATACTAAAAATATTATTTGTTGTTTATCTGAAATGCAAATTTAACTGGGTATCCAGTACTTCTGGCAGATCTGCTGGGTTAGCTGTATAATTTAGCATCCAAACCAGGATGTTTTGATAGTGAAATGGGGCACTGTTAATAATTATGCTAGGAAAACAAACATAAACTGGGACTGTCCTGGGGAAATTGAAAAGTATGATCAACCTAATTAAGAGGTTTTAAAGTAATTTGAAAAAATGATTTATTTATTTGAAAAGCAGAGTGACAGAGAGAGAGGGAGAGACAGAGAGCTCTTCCATTTGCTGGTTGACTCCCCAAATGCCCACAACAGCAAGGGGGTGAGCTGGGCAGAAGCCAGGATCCCAGATCTTCATCCATGTCTCAACATGGGCGGCAGGGTCACAGGTGCTTGGGCCATCATTTGCTGCCTTCCCAGGTGCATTAGCAGTAAGCTGGATCAGGAGCAGAGCAGCCCGGACTCCAATAGGGTGTGCAGTCATCCCACCTGGAAAATCAACCTACTGTGCCGTAATGCCCACCCCTTGAAATAATCTTTAATTATTGGCTTTAAATGTTAATAGCCATTCACATCTGTATATCATCAATTTCTGTGGCTATACATCTTTATAAATGTAAAGTGTATGACTGTCTGATTTTTACAGTTAAAAATTCATTAAAACATCTTAAAAACTAGTGGCCAATTGCTTGCCCCTGATTAAAGTTCTCCTTCTAGGAGGCTCCCACTAGTAAATGATATTTTACAGCTTAAACTTTTAAAATTATTTATTCTTGAGGACGGCGCTATGGAGTAGCAGGTAAAGCAGCTGGCTGCAGTGCCAGCATCCCATGTGGGCACCAGTTCAAGTCCTGGCTGCTCCACTTCCGATCCAGCTCTCTGCCATGGCCTGGAAAAGCAGTAGAAGATGGTCCAAGTCCTTGGGCCCCTGCACCCATTGGGAGACCCAGGAGAATCTCTAAGCTCCTGACTTCAGGTCAGTGTAGCTCCATCCGGTGCTGCCATTTGGGAAGTGAACCAGGGATGGAAGATCCCTCTTTCTCTGCCTCTGCCACTGTCTCTCTATAACTCTGCCTTTCAAATAAATAAATAAATTATTTATTTATTCTTTCTTTATATTACTTATATATGTGTATGTTACCACAAGCAATTATAACTTACTTATAACCTAAGAAATTCCATGTGTTTTCTTTGATTCAAGTCTTCACTGTTTATTTCATTTGGGGGATTTAGTAAATTACTATTCATATTTTTTTTATTATTTTTTTTAAATTTTTTATTTAGTTATTTATTTTTATTTTTGACAGGCAGAGTAGACAGTGAGAGAGAGAGACAGAGAGAAAGGTCTTCCTTTTGCCGTTGGTTCACCCTCCAATGGCCACTGCGGCCAGCGCACCGTGCTGATCCGATGGCAGGAGCCAGGTACTTATCCTGGTCTCCCATGGGGTGCAGGGCCCAAGCACTTGGGCCATCCTCCACTGCACTCCCTGGCCACAGCAGAGAGCTGGCCTGGAAGAGGGGCAACCGGGACAGAATCCAGTGCTCCGACTCGGACTAGAACCCGAGTGCCGGCGCCACAAGGTGGAGGATTAGCCTAGTGAGCCGCGGCGCCGGCCTTATTCATATATTTTTTAAAGGTTTTTTTATTTATTTGAAAGTCAAGAGTTACACAGAGAGAGGAGAGGCAGAGAGAGGTCTTCCATCCGCTGGTTCCCTCTCCAGGTGGCTGCACTGATCTAAAGCTAACCCAGGAGCCAGAAGCTTCCTGAGGGTCTTCCCACACAGGTGTAGGGGCCCAAGGATGTGGGCCATCTTTTGCTTTTCCAGGCCATGGCAGAGAGCTGGATCAGAAGTGGAGCAGCCAGGACTTGAACCAGTGCCCACATGGGGGTGCCAGCACTGCAGGGGGTGGTGGCTTTAGCCACTACTGCACAGCCTGGCCCCACTATTCATATTTAACTTAACCTTCTTAATTAGACAGCCTTTTGTCAGCTTCCCTTGCTCAACCTTTGACATCCGTAAATATTTGAGTACCTGCAACATGCAAACCACTCTGCTTATATAACATGGGATAAGACCAGGTCCATGTTTTTAAAGAGCTTACAGTCTGCACTTTCTATTTTCAGTCTCTCTTCAACTTCATATATTTCAGTTGTCTAGTTGTCTTCATCTCTGCTGTTTTTTTTTTTTTTCCCACAGGTAGAGTGGACAGTGAGAGAGAGAGACAGAGAGAAAGGTCTTCCTTTTGCCATTGGTTCACCCTCCAATGGCCGCAGCGGCCAGCACACCGCGCTGATCCGAAGGCAGGAGCCAGGTGCTTCTCCTGGTCTCCCATGCAGGTGCAGGGCCCAAGCACTTGGGCCATCCTCCACTGCACTCCCAGGCCACAGCAGAGAGCTGGCCTGGAAGAGGGGCAACCGGGACAGAATCCAGTGCTCCGACTCGGACTAGAACCCGAGTGCCGGCGCCGCAAGGCGGAGGATTAGCCTGCTGAGCCGCGGCGCCGGCCTGCTGTTTCTTTTTTTTAATCTTTGGGTTTTTTTCGTTTGTTTTCTTCTGTTCAAATTATGACAATTCATATGTCAGGAATAGGTGTACCATGGTATTGATTAGGAACTGTATGTTTTTGTCTTATTCCAACATCTGTTCTACAGATACATGGGATTTTATAGGAGTTTTGGCTACTTTAATTAGTTGTCAGAAAATAGTCTATAACTGCTAGATAATTTCTCTGCATTATAATTGATAAATGATAATAAAAATGTATCAAAGTCCAATATACTTGAACTGCCTGGAACATAGATAACAGTTTTCCAGACTGTTTTTTTTTTTTTTTTCAGACTGTTTTAACTTAACAGGATTAATGTCAAAGTTTTCTAAAGAGAAAAACTCTTCTGCTTTTATTGTTTTGAGTGTCAATACATGTTTTCTCTAATATTAACTGTTTTAAAATATACTTCACAGTGCCCTTTTTTATCTTTGAAAAGATAAAATTATTTTTACTTTATATTCACGTTGATAGAAAACTCAAATCATACAAAAGTATATGCAGTACGAAGTTATTCCTATTGTCTAGCCAGCAATTCTCCTTATCCAGAGTAACCAGTTTTTAATGATTATTTTATATAATCCTTCTGGAAATTACATTGCAGATGACTATTTATGTATTCTCTCTTTTCCTCTTTTTGTTTACATGAATGATAGATTATCCTTCACAATGTTGTATGCTTTGCTTTTTTTTTCACTGAACACTATTTCTTGGAGATTATTCTCTTTTTTTTAAGATTTATTTATTTATTTGAAAGAGTTACAGAGAGAGGGAGATCTTCTATCCACTGTTTGACTCTCCAAATGGCCACAATATCCAGGGTTTGGGCAAGCTGAAGCCAGGAGGGTGGGAGGGGCCAGTCGGGAGGGGCCCAAGCACTTAGAACATCTGCTGCTGCTTTCCCAGGCCCATATAGCAGGGAGCTGGATTGGAAGTGGAGCAGCCAGGACTCAAACTGGTGTTCATCTGGGATGCTGATATTGCAGGCTCAACTCACTGTGCACAATACCTGCCCCCTTGGAGATTATTCTTATATCAGAACAAGCTTTCTTGGTTTTTTGTTTTAATACCTACATAGTATTCTGTGTTACAAGGGCGCTACTAATCACTTCATAAAGCTAGTGCCATTTAAAACTTCTACCAGTATATCTTGCTAACTCCGGCTATTATCAAACTTTAGGGAACTTAGTAGAGGAAAAAGAGGATCTTATTTGAATTTATCTTACTATCATTGATTTTGAGAGTTTGCCATTTCTGTTTATGTGAGTTTGTGGGTTTTACCAATTTTTCTTCTGAATTGTTCGCTTTAATTTTGTTTTTAAAATGTACATTTTTAATACTGGAAAATTCATATGTGCTCATGTGCATTACAAATATTCTTTTCAGTTTGTCACTGTTTTACCTTGTATATATGGTCTGTAAGTTTACATAGTTGTGACTATCAGGTGATACGAGTGGAGGGTAGAGATCAATAAGGGTGAATTAGTGAAGAATCAGATCAGCCAAGCTGCTAAACACTTTTTAAATGAGAAAAGTGATGTAGCAAAAGTGTTTTAGTGCTTTTATCTCCTTAAAGGAAAGAAAATATGGGGCTGGTGCAGTGGCACAGTAGGTTAATCCTCTGCCTTTGGCACCAGCATCCATATAGGCACCAATTCGAGTCCTGGTTGCCCCTGTTCCAATCCAGCTCTCTGCTATGCCATGGGAATGCAGTGGAAGATGGCCCAAGTCCTTGGGCTGCTGCACCCACATGGGAAACCAGGAGGAAACCACTGTCTCCTGGCTTTAGATCGGCGCAGCTCCAGTTGTTGCAGCCATTTGGGGAGTGAACCAACGGACGGAAAACCTTTCTCTCTCTCTCTCTCCCACTCACTATCAGTAAATCTACCTCTCAAATAAATAAATAAATAAATAAAATCTTTAAAAAAGGAAAGAAAATATAAATAAAAGCCTATACAATGTCTAGTTGTTATAACGATGCTGAATATATATTTGTTTTATATATTTCACCTTAGAGGTTTTGTCGGCTATGATTAGTGTGCTGTTGGTGTATATATTAATGGGATTCCTCTTATATGAAGCTGTGCAAAGAACTATCCATATGAACTATGAGATAAACGGAGATATAATGCTCATCACTGCAGCTGTTGGAGTTGCAGTTAATGTAATGTAAGTTCTGTATTTTTCATGTTAATATTTTAAGTAAATGTGAATGTAGAAACTATTGTAGATCTAATCAGTAATGATTTCACATTTTCATATTTTCAGATTACATAGCACATTAATATTTTTTATAAAAACACTTGGGCAGGGCCGGCATTGTAGTATAGTAGGTAAAGCCACCTCCTGTGACATCAGCATCCCATATGGGTATCTGTTCAAGTCCCAGCTGCTCCAGTTCCTATCCAACTCCCTGCTAATGCACCTGAGAAAGCAGCAGAGGATGGCCCAAGTGCTTGAGCCCCTGCACCCATGAGGGAGACTGGGAAGAAGCTCCTGCCTCCTGCTTCAGCCTGGCCCAGCCTTGGCCATTCTGCCCATTTGGGGAGTGAACCAGTGGATGAAAGACTGATCAATCTCAATCTCTCTCTCTGTATCTGTCTCTCTGTCTCCCTGCTCTGTAACTCTGCCTTTCAAATAAATAAATCATTTTTAAAGGAAAAAAAAAAAAGAACACTTGGGCATTCTAAGTTCCTTGTTAGTTTGCTCAGATATACTGCAATTCGACTAAAACCCGAGAATTTAAATAGGACAAAGATTTTTGTTGTTTGACTTTTAGGATATATAATGTTAACTATATTTTTAAACTGCTAATTGTTTTTCCTAAAAGCTGCTACATTTAAATTATATACTTAGTCATTTAGACCAGGATTGAGAAAACTTTTTTTTTTTATTTATTTTATGTATCTGAAGAGCAGAGTTACAGAGAGAGGGAGAGACAGAGAGAGAGGTCTTCCATCTGCTGGTTCACTCCTCAGTAGCCTCAATGGTCAGTGCTGGGCTAGGCCAACACCAGGATTCTCCTAGGTCTCTAAAGTGTGTACATGGGCTCAAGCACTTGGGCCATCTTCTGCTGCTTTTCCAGGCACGTTAGCAGGGAGCTGGATCAGAAGTAGGGAAGCCAAGTCTCAAACCGGTGCCCATATGGCATGCCAGAATCAAAGGCAGATGCTTTATCCACTGTGCCACATGCCAGTCCCAGTAAACTTTTTCTGTAAAGGGCTAGATAGTAAGTATTTGCTCTGAGAACCATACCTCCTCAAAGCTGTTCACCTCTGCTGTTAGAGAATGAAAGCAGCCACACTCAGGATATATAAACAAATGAACATGGCCCTGTTCCAGTAAAACTTTATGTACAAAAACAGTTGGTGGCCACATATGATGTAGCAGCCATAGTTTACCAATCCCTGCCCAAAGTGGCTTCTATTTATACCCAGAATACAATCAAAAGTCCTTACAAAACCCTTTTTATAAGACCTTTTATACCTTTTCAACTCATCCCTTAGCACTTTTGCTCATTTAATTTTGGTCACAATGGCTGTCTTTTTTTTCTCAAGTAACTGGAATACATTTTCATTGTAGGGCTGTTCTGTCCTCTGTTCTGGCTGGAGCAGGCCTTCCCTGACCACTCTTCTCATCATTCTCCATCCCATTACAATGCTTCATGTTTCCTCATAGCATTTCACATTACCTGTCTGTACATTATTTATTTGCTTGCTTCTCTGCCTTCTCTACTAGAACATAAGCTCCATGGGGTAGGGAAGATTGGTCATAGTCACTGCTTTGAAGCCAACATCTAGAACAGAATACTAATAGGTGCTCGAGTTCTTATTAAATGAATTGGTTTCATGCTGCTTCATTAGTGTCATGACTAGTAGCATATTGTTGTCAATAATATTAGGAAAAATAATAATGTTTTCTTTTGTTTTTAACAGAATGGGTTTTCTGTTGAATCAGTCTGGTCATCATCACTCCCATTCCCATTCCCTGCCTTCAAATTCTCCTACCACAGGTTCTGGTAGACACAGCCATGGGCAGGATAGCCTGGCAGTTAGAGCTGCATTTGTACATGCCTTGGGAGATTTGGTACAGAGCGTTGGTGTGCTAATAGCTGCATACATCATACGATTCAAGGTAATACTATTGCTAATTTTTCTATTTAATACTATTGCTAATTTTTCTATTTTCTATTATAATATTAATCTATTTCAAGATGGATTTAATTTCAACATTAAAACTAAAGTTGACTGTTTTTTATCAGTATACTGAACTTCAGTGCCAGTTCTATTCATTTTGCATTGCTATAAACTTAATTGGCTATCTGTGTAACACTTTGTTAGAAGTAAACACAATGGTATCACCTTACCAGGTAACTTATCTGTACCTGGTTTTGGTAATGCCTTCACTGAAGAACTCAATTTTCAGCCTTGTCACTGAACTAGTAGGTAATGAAATATATACTGGGCTCAAAATCTAGATATCTGAGTTATAGTCTTAGCTATGTTAGTTTTAATGCTTTGACCTTGAGCAAGTACCTCAACTTTATTTTTTTTTATTTTTTGACAGGCAGAGTGGACAGTGAGAGAGAGAGACAGAGAGAAAGGTCTTCCCTTGCTGTTGGTTCACCCTCCAGTGGCCGCCGTGGTCGGCACACCGTGCTGATCCAATGGCAGGAGCCAGGTACTTATCCTGGTCTCCCATGGGGTGCAGGGCCCAAGTACTCGGGCCATCCTCCACTGCACTCCCTGGCCACAGCAGAGAGCTGGCCTGGAAGAGGGGCAACCGGGACAGAATCCGGCGCCCCAACCAGGACTAGAACCCGGTGTGCCGGCGCCGCAAGGCGGAGGATTAGCCTAGTGAGCCGCGGTGCCGGCTAGTACCTCAGCTTTAAATTTGAGTTTCCTTGTCTTTAATTTGAAGGGCTTAAATACCTGCTAAAACTCCTTCCAGCTCTGATATTCTATAATTCTGGGTGAACGAGTTAGTGAAGGCACAGAGGAGAATAGAATAAGTGATAAAACTTCTGGAAATAAGTGCCGTGAGGAAAGTCATTGGAACAGTCAGGAAAGACTGACAGTGGTTCTCAGTTACAATATCTGAGTTTTAGAGAGATTCTCCAGTCCCACTAAAGAGTGCCAAATAATAGGGGATATATGCCTTGCTTTGCTTTATAGCAGAGGTGGGAACCTTTTTTTCTGTGAAGAGTCATTTAGATATTTATAACATCATTCGCAGGCCATACAAAATTATCAGCTTAAAAATTAGCCTGCTATAGATGTATTGAATTTCAAGTGCTGCCTGTCATTGTGTTGGCAGGGCCAGGCCAAATGATTTTGCAGACCTTATATGGCCCACAGGCTGGACATTCCCCACCCTTGCTCTGTAGTTTCTGTTATGTCTGTCTATATTTAATCATAAAACTTTGATCTGTTACCTTTTAGCCAGAATACAAGATTGCTGATCCCATCTGTACATATGTATTCTCATTACTTGTGGCTTTTACAACATTTCGCATCATATGGGACACAGTAGTGATAATACTGGAAGGTAAGGCTCATTAATATCCTCATTATGGGTTTATCACTTTGTTGTTTTTTTGTTTGTTTTTGTTTTTGTTTTTAGTTTATTTATTTATTTATTTATTTAACAGGTAGAGTTATAGACAATGAGAGACAGACAGAGAGAAAGTTTTCCTTCCGTTGGTTCACTCCCCTAATGGCCGCTACAACCAGTGCTGCACCGATCCGAAGCCAGGAGCCAGGTGCTTCCTCCTGGTCTCCCATGTGGGTGCAGGGGCCCAAGCACTTGGGCCATACTCCACTGCCCTCCCGGGCCACAGCAGAGAGCTGGACTGGACTGGAAGAGGAGCAACTGGGACTAGAACCTGGCACCCATACTGGATGCCGGCGCCACAAGGCGGAGGATTAACCAAGTGAGCCACGGCGCTGGCCCAGGGTTTATCACTTTGTAATTCAGATTTAGAGTCCGCAGGCGCCGCGGCTCACTAAGCTAATCCTCCGCCTAGCGGCGCCAGCACACCCGGTTCTAGTCCCGGTTGGGGCGCCGGATTCTGTCCCGGTGGCCCCTCTTCAGGGCAAGTTCTCTGCTGTGGGCCGGGGAAGACAGTGGAGGGATGGCCCCAGGTTCTTGGGCCCTGCACCCCATGGGAGACCAGGAAAAGCACCTGGCTCCTGGTTCCTGCCACCGGATCAGCGCGGTGCGCCGCTGCGGCCATTGGAGGGTGAACCAACGGCAAAAGAAGACCTTTCTCTCTGTCTCTCTCACTGTCCACTCTGCCTGTCAAAAAAAAAAAAAAAAGATTTAGAGTCAGAGAGGGCAGTCTAGGTAGGAGCCATGTCTTCTGCTTTTTATTGGTACTTATCATGGTATATAACACTACCTTATGTGTATATAATATAGAAGGATTAACACACTCTCCCATCTATTTCCATTTTAACCTTTTTAAAAGCTAAGCCAAGTACGTCAGGCATACAATGAGGTAAATTAGCTACATTACAGACAAGAAAATTGAGGTTCAGAGGGATAAAAAAAAAAGCTTGATTGAAGTCCTGCTGGTGATAAACTGTGGGACTAGGACAAGTGTGCAACTTGATTTTTTGTATTTATTTGAAAGGCCAAGTTACATGAAGAGAGAGGCAGAGATACAGAAAGAGATCTTCCATCCACTGGCTCACTCCCCAAATGGCTGCAATGGCCAGGGCTGAGACAAGCCAAAGCCAGGAGTCAGGTGCTTCATCCAGGTCTCCCATGTGGGTACAGGGGCCCAAGCACTTGGGCCATTTCCCACTGTTTTACCAGGTGCATTAGCAGAGAGCTGGATTAGAATTGGAATAGCTGGGATGAAAATCATCACATGTATGGGATGCTGGCATTGCAGGCAGTGGCTTATCCCATTGCACCCCCCCAACTTGATTCTTAATGTAGTTATGCTTAGTGGTTTATTCATTCCTTAATTCCTATTAAACTTGCCACGTTGTTGAATTTACAACATCCTAACAACATTAAAGTAAAAGTTCTCAGCAATAGACTTACCATCATTGTATGTTTCTTTTTTTTTTTTCTTTTTTTTTGCCTATTCTTGCTTTTCTGTGAAACAGAATATTCTGGTTCAGTTGACATTGCTTTTTAGTGAGAATGAACTTTTTTTAAAAGCATGTATTCACCTCTTGTGTACTATCCTCCATCTTTTGAAAAGACATGTATGTATAGTTTATCTTAAAGTGTTAATATATTTTAAAGTATTTGTTTAAACTGAATTTGGCAAAACCATTTATTTTCTTTGAAAAAAATTATGCATTTTTAAATGTAAAACTTTTTTTTCCAAATAAACTTTATTTATAAAGTATTTATTCCGAACTAATAGGGGTACCAAGCCACTTGAACATAGACTATATCAAGGAAGCCTTGATGAAAATAGAAGATGTTTATTCAGTGGACGATTTAAACATCTGGTCTCTCACTTCAGGAAAATCTACTGCCATAGTTCACATACAGCTAAGTATGTTGCTGAGGGTAAATAGGAGCATGGGGTTCATGGAGCTGCCTTAGGAACTAAACATCTGTGCTTTTCGTTAAGTAGGAACTTTTCTGCTAAAAAGCTTGGTTTTAAGGGAGGGGTGAGACTCTTCAAAGGGTGAGTTGCAGGGCACTACTGGTAGCAGAACAGTCATTTCTGACCTCTCTGAGGTGAGACATTACAAATTGATGTTCACTTTCAAATTAAAGGCAGTGAGTGTGCCTCTCATGTTCTTTTCTACATAAGAAAAACTAGAATCTTCTTTTTGTTTATCTTACAGATTGATGCTTTTTGGTTTTTTTTTTTATCAAAATAATGCATGCATGTGGTTTATTTAAAAAGTGAATGACAGGTTTATAACTGTCTGTTCTTTCTCTGAGAATGGACTGCAGAGATTAGAAAATGAGAATTCGTTTGGATATGTAAACTGACACACAAAAGGATGCCTCAGAAAGTTCACTGGAAAATGGAATTAAAAGATAAATTTATTTTGGTGCTAAAAATTGTAATCCATGCAGAGTTGTTTCATAATACACATTTTCCACTAACTTTTGGAAGAACTCTCGTACTTCTCTAATGGAATAGCTTAAAGGGGTAGAAATCAGACTAATAAAAGTATGTTCAGTCTATTATGGTTGAGTTTTTTTTCCCTGTATGTTATTCACTAATGTGTATTACAATGAATAGTAATGATGTTTTCTTGACATTGCAGTTCCTGGAAGTTCATCTAAATGGGAGGAAGTACAGTCCAAGGCAAAGCACTTGTTATTGAACACATTTGGCATGTATAAATGTACCATTCAACTTCAGAGTTACAGGCAAGAAGTGGACAGAACTTGCGCAAATTGTCAGAGTTCCAGTCCCTAACCTTCTGTATTTGGGGGACTACTGCCTTATTTATCCTGCAGTCACAGACTTGAGAGCAATAAATGCAAACCTAGATGAGAAAGTGGAGTCCCTGACAGCTGTGTCCATATCAAGTACTAGTCTCTCAAAACAATCACTCCAGCTTGACAGTGCCAGTCTCTGCTTAATGGTAAAGTGAGACTTCATGATTTTTCACATGAAGATGTTTCCAAAACATTGTTTACAGAAAGAGACGTGACTCTACAGATACCTCATAGAAGACAATCCAAGACCCTGCTTCGTTAATTTGACAGAGTATATATCTTAAAGGAAGCATCGACAATTCAGTATTTGCATTTAAAAATACTTTTTAAAGGCCATTTTCTATCAAGCCAGTGCTGGAAAACTGATGTTTTTAATTGTGTAATCTTGACACCCAGCTTCTGGAATTGCTGCTCTCTTTTTACACAGATTACTTCTCAACAGATTTCAGAAATTACTAGTAATTATCCAGAGAATGGAATGAGCATGTATTCCTAAGTGTTTCAGAAATGTTTTATTTCCCAAGTCTTAATGTTATTGTTATACTTTATAAACAGCTTTTTCCAGAAATAACAGGGTTTTAAATCTCAAAGTTAATGTTTGTGATTATTTGTAAATCTTACAAGAACCAAATCTTTACATATTGTGGTCACTGTCATTAAATTATTTAGGAAATATTTTCAGTGTTCTGAATGGCAGAAGATAGTCTTAACTCAAATTATTCTATAATGATTTAAAACAAAATAAAAGATCAAGGATGGGGTGTGGAATTTCAGATTTGTCTTTCTAAAATCACTTATTGTTCACAGAATTGTCTTAAGAACAGCAGGAGTGGGACGACAAAACAAACACACATCCTCTGTCCCATTAAGAATTACCAACATTTTGCAGTTTATTTAGTACCTTGGCTCCTGCCTCCATGCAGATAATCTGTTTGCACGTTTCAGAGTGAAACTCTCTAGAGGACCAAAGTTCAATTTTAATAACCCAACTCTCACATACAGATTAACTACATTATTTCAGAGAGAATTTCTGGTTTATTATGTAAGTTAAGGACTCTCTGTGGACTCCAGGAATCCAAATTGAAGAAATAATTTTGAGGATTTCCGATAATACAGTGGCAGAAATGCCCAGAAGTGATGGGGGAGATTTTATTTTGGGAAAACAAAACAGTAAAGGTTTTTTTTTTAACCTCACATGTATACGTATTTTAAATCACTGAAATCAGAATGGATATTAAATCTTCTGTAGGGAGGCTAAGCATAAAACTTTCCAAACTGAACAAAAACTAATTGGTAATGGTTATGCTAAGGAAGCAGCTGTGAATATTCATGTTTCACTGTGTTGCCACTGGTTTTGAGATTATCTTTGTGAACAAGAGGAGTCCCCTTTTAGTAGGGGCAATTTCCTGGAACAAGAATGGTTCTGGACTCTGCAGAGAATTAGAGTAGGGTAACAATGTTCTCTACAATCTATGTTGTAAATTGAAATCCTAGGTAGTCATTACTGATGTCTTGTAGTATAAATTAAGATTACAGAACAGATTTTATCTTCTAACCAAGTATCTTACTGCAAGTAAACCTAAGAAAACCTAGATTTACCTAAAAGATTGTTGGAAGTTGATGGTATCAATAAAAAGGTTGGTGGTACCTAATGAAACCCAATAGGTAGTTGTTGAATTGAATAGAACATTTACTTTATAGGATTTTTATTGTGAATCATTAAAAATAGTGATTTGAATTTCTCTAAAATTTCAGGAGAAAATAAATTATTGTAATCATAGGCAACTAAGAATAGGGAGAGACATTCAGTGGACACCTGAGCATTTATGGACTTTGAGTATCTAGTAAGAAGAAGGGAAAAATATGCATTATCTGCTATTGATTTTCCCATATCTATGAGCCTATTCCTTGTCAACTTTCATGTATCGTATATAGTTATATTTGGCTTTTCATATGAGCTGTTCCTTAAAAAGTTACTTGATGAAAACAATCTAAAATCCATTTGAGGATTGAAAAGGATCCTTTTGTAAAATACAAAAACACTGCAGACTTTTGTAAATTGTAATTATCATGTTCTGCTTAAAATGAGATTCATATAGTTTCCTTTGCTTTGCCTTTGTAGCACGAACTACAGATTTTGTATTTGTACTTCACTGGACCTACAGGATTTGAGAACTGATAGTTTTTGGGTTTTTTTTTTTTTTTTTTTTTTTTGTAAATTGACAAAACACACAGAGAAGAACATGAACAGTATTTAGAACCATGGCCTGCACTCCTTTTTATTTTTTTTTTAAGATTTATTTTATGTATTTGAAAGATAGTTATAGAGAGAAGTAGAAAGAGATAAAGAGAGAGAGGTCTTGCATCCACTGATTCACCACCCAAATGGCCACAGCCAATCCAAAGCCAGGAGCCAGGAGCTTCCTCCAGATCTCCCACACTGGTGCAAGGGCCCAAGCACTTCCGCCATCCTTTACTGCTTTTCTAGGCACATTAGCAGGGAGCTGGATTGGAAGTGGAGCAACCAGGACTTGAACTGGTGCCCATATGGGATTCTGGCGCTACAGGCTAGGGCTTTAACCTGCTGCACCACAGCGCTACCCCACCCTGCACACTTTCTGACAAAGAGCATTTGATCTCCCCTTCACCTGTTGGGCTACAACCACACTGTTAGTTACAGTTCTCAGCAGAGTACTCAAAGACTTCTCTCCTGCCCTGTGAAAGGCAGAGGCTGAGATGGACAAACACATAGCATGACTAACTTTGCAATGGAACAGCAGATCACAGTGTAAAAACTTGTCAGTTCTTCATTGTGATATATCATTATTTTTTTAGGTGCAGGCCATGAAGGCTTTTTTTTTTGGCGGGGGGGGGACCAAGGAGACAATTTCAAATACTGGCAAATGTGTTACATTCCCATTGTGCTGGCAGTAAGTTTACATACCGACACACACACACACAATGAAAAGTAACTGAGTCTAAATACTTTTAGTACTTTCCAAAAGATTACTGCTTCTCTACGTCTTTTACAGCTTTATTCTTAGTTTTCATTTCGTTTGACAGTATATTGCTTTTCTCATTAATTTCTTTGATATTTTCATGAATTTTTTCCCTCTGACTTTCCATTTCAGCAGTTCATTTCTGCAGATCGTAAATGTAATATTGACAAATAAGATTCTTTTCTCTAAATATTTCATTTTCCAACTTGACAAATTCAGTAGCTATGTTTTTTTCTCCTTCTAAGCCATCCTTTTCCTTTTCCACTATGTTAACTCTGTTTAACTTCTCCTCTGTATTCACTTAATATTTCCACTCTCTGACACAAAACTTTGATAGGTTCATTTAGTCACCCATAACCAAATGTATCTTCTAAATATTCAAGCATACCCTAGTCGTGTTCAGTTTGGCCTTTTGGCCTCATCAGAGCAATCTTTTCAACTTCACCCTGCAAGATTAAAAAATTGTTATGGTCCAAGTCAAGATTTCCAACATCCTTAAAAGTCTTTCTTCCCGCTTATATGATAGAAACATTGTCTCTGTAGGGCGTTCAGGATATATAAAATTACTGTTAGGAATGCCTTCATCATCATCTCCTTCCTTATCAATTATCTTTTGAAAATGAACTTCTACAGTACCATTCTGAATATCCTTGTGTTCATCAGAATTATGTACTAGTACTGAGAGTTTTTTAGATCTTATTTTTTGTGCTTGATAACCAAATACAAAAAGCATAGAATAAATAACATTGGATTTGCCACTGCCATTTGGCCCAGTAATACAGGAAAAGTGTTTATGAAAAGGTCCCAGGATTCTTTCCCCAGCATAGGATTTGAAGTTCTGGTTTACAATACGAGTTCTCACAAGCTGTGGTGCTCCAGATATATCTTAATTAATATTTGCACATAATCAGAGTTCCTTGCATACATCAACCTGTGCAGCCTCTTGATTTGTTTTAGGAAAAGACCTATTGTTTCACTAAAGATCATGATGCCTTAGAAATACAAAAGGAGCACAATAAAGCATATTTTAGAGAAATTTGATATGCAGAACTAGAAGCTATTATATTGTAGCTCATGTGTCTCCATGAGCTATGCCTTATGTAATGTGATTTTCACAATTTACCACTCCCATCATTATTTACTAAATCACTGGATTTCTTAGTTTGCCATTGTCTTTTCATATTCAATTTTGGGTGCTTGATTTCCATTCTCAAGTTTCCTGCCCTTATGAGTCTCAGTGTTCTGTTTCTTCAACCCAGATATTCCGGCTGACAGTATTTGTCTCTAATAGAATTTTCCCAGAATAGGCATAATCAAGATCAGATCCATGAGCTTCTAATTTTAATATGAGAAAAAAATTGTGTTTCCAAGAAATGGCACCACTTAGAAGTGTGCTTCCAGATAGTTAGGGGCCTTTTCTTGACAGGTGATTGTTCCTAATCCAGATTCTTCTGCACACAAAACTTTGTAGAGTCATTGTGGTAGACAGAATTATTCCACACTGTGCAACCACAAGAGATCACTGCTAATAAGACGATGGGTCTTGTTTCTCAAATACTGCTCTCACAGCTTTGGTAGAGATAATCATTTGATCCTGAAACAAACAGTTCACTGAATTTATTTTCTTTTCTTTTTTTTTTTTTTTTAAGATTTAAAAGATTTAAAGTCAGAGTTACTCAGAAAGAGGAGAGGCGCAGAGAGAGAGAGAGGTCTTCCATTCGATGGTTCACTCCCCAATTGGCCGCAATGGCAGGAGCTGCGTCGATCAGGAGCCAGGAGCGTCTTCTGGGTCTCCCACGCGGGTGCAGGGGCCCAAGGACTTGGACCATCTTCCACAGCTTTCCCAGGCCATAGCAGAGAGCTGGATCGGAAGTGGAGCAGCCAGGCCTTGAACCAGCACCCATATGGGATGCCAGCACTTCAGGCCAGGGCATTAACCCACTGTGCCACAGCACCGGCCCCTGAATTTATTTTCTTTTTATACATTTGTATTAATTGGTTCATGATAAGGAATAACATGTTCTTACAGAATTTGAGCCCTTTTGAAATAAGATTTTAGGAAATTTTTCTGTTGATTACCTTGTAGATGGTAAATTCAATGTTATAGAATGTGTTCCTAGATATAAGATTAGTTAACTAAATCCAGTTTGTCTTTGAACTCAGCTTAGCTCCTGGGTGTTAGTCGTAAATGAGCAGTGATACCTTATTCTTTGCTGGGGTGAGGGAAGGTAAGTCTGATATCCAAGTAATTGATGAAGCATATTATCTCTATAGCCAAAATACCATTTGCAAACCCTAACTCCAGATCTGTCTTGTGAATCTTGTTGACCAGCACTTTGGATTATTTCACAGATCCCCACCAGGTATATTGTTTGTGATGTTAGTGGGAATGCACAGTTTGGAGGAGAAATTGTCAGGGGAGTGCCATGGTATCAAATTCTGTGTATTCACTCAGGCCAGGCAGTCACTGAATTCTTGTTCCCAAAGGGTTTAACCTACTTTTGGATCATATTGTGAGGACCAACCAACATTTTGTGATTTTTGGAGACTTTCCCAGTTCAGTCTATGAGAGGCAATTTAAATAATGCAAGTATATTCTGAAATAACACAGAATTGAAACATGCCAATATGTTACCTTTCCACTGAGAAGATACTGTATACTTGGAAAGCTTATGCTTCTCTGAATATGTGTTATTCAATAAGCCATATCGCAGTTTAAGAAATGTATATACTTTTTCATGTGCCCCTTCAGAAACCAGGTATTTTGCATATGATTGATTTTAGAAAGATTTTGAAGCTGGGGTTTGTCCATGTAATTAAGATCAAAATATATGTATATGTATTGTATTTGCAATTTTCAAATTGTAATTTCCTATACATTTATTAAATAAAGTATTGTCATGTGGTTTATTAAAAATTTTAAATATACAGTTCTTTAAGGTAAGTTTCTGTTCTTTTTATTAAGGAACAATAGTTGACCTTTTAACATATTCTTTAAAGGAAAAGCATTGAAAAATAGATTATAACCTAACTAGTTTTATAATCTCAGATTGTATAATATCATCTTAGAAATTTAAGAAATAAACCTGAAAAAATATTCCAGATAGGATAAAAATGGATATTAAAAACCTTTTTCTTTTGAAATCAGTCACTTGTACAGTCCCAGCAGCAAGCAGAAAAAAAAAGGAAAGAAGCAACTGTGAAAGCAAGGTTGGCAAGGACCCTCGAATGGCCTGATGACTCCACTGGTGGGGCCAGGGATCAGCAAACCACCCTCCCAGGCCAGACCTGTCCTGCAGCCTGTTCTGTGTGGCCCAAGAGCTAAGAGTGGGTTTTACATTTTTAATTTTTTTTAATCAGTGGAATAATAATACTCCATGACATAAAAATTAAGTGGACTTTAAGTATACTTCACTGTCCACAAATAACATTATTGGAATACAACACACTCATCCAATTACATATGCTGATTTGCTCCCTGCAATGGCCAGGGCTGTACCAGACCAAAGCCTAGAGCCAGGAGCCTCAGCTGGGTCTGTCATGTGGTTGGCAGGGATCTAAGTATTAGAGTCATCTTCCACTGATTTTCTCAGGCCATTAGCAGGAATCTGAATCAAAGGTGGGGCAGCCAGGACACAAACCAGCATATGGGATGCCAGCCTTGCAGGTGGTGACTTTACCTGCCATGTCACACTAGCCACTCATAAATTTTTAAGACTTACTTGGCTTTCTTAATATTTCACTTAAGTTATAACAAAAAGTAGAGGAAATAAAAATGTACATCTAGCACCTTGTTCGTTTGTGCCTAATTGGAAGCTAATCAATGAAAAATAGCATTTTATCTGCTAAATAACAGGAAAATTGGTTGTCCTATTCTTAAAGTAATATATTCTTCAGAGATTTCAAATTATCAGCCTTTTGTCCAAAATCAACTAAGAAGTTTTAATTCAACCAGGGAAAAAACTATTCAAAAAAAAGTTACAAGATATAGGAGTAGATAAGTTATATTTGTAATCACAGATGTTACATATCACTTGATTACCTAGCTATAGTTCTATTTTGATGTGTCATTTTTTGGTTCATGCTAGATACTAAATTCTAATTTGAGGAGACAACTCCTGTTTGTGCTATACTTTCAGTTTTACTTACTAGTATAATACTCATATTTTGGTTATATTTTGAACTCCAACAATGGTTCCATTATAATTTCTATAAGCTATGAAATAGACTAGGCATAAATAGGAAGTATGAAGCCTTAGGACTAAACAGAATCCCTACCTGAATCATGTTTAAGGTTAGCAGACTTAAAAACCCAGCCGCAATGGAATGTCACCACCACTGTCATTGTCAAGCAGAATTTTGGTTTAACAGGCTCTCACGTGACTCTCACCATTAGATTCAAGTTTGGCTCGTGGCATTTACCCAGTCAACGTGAACATGATACTTTGTGAGTTACCAAATAGCTTCCATGTCTCCTGTCCTGGACTTTTCAGAACCTCATTCTGGTTTGATTTTCAAATTTCTAATGTCTGTTTCACTTGCCAGTTTTTGTAGTTTGGGTTGTGGTTGGTTTTGGTTTTAGTTTTTAACATTCATTTTAACCAGATGGTGACACTATGGGAAAATGTGTGGGTTTTTTTTTCCAAAATATATTGTTATTTTTTGGTAATAGTAGGATTTTTTTTAAAGATTTATTTTATTTATTTGGAAGACAGAGTTACAGAGAAAGGTAGAGCCAGAAAGAGAGGTCTTCTATCTGCTGGTTCACTCCCCAGATGGCTGCAATGGCCAGAGCTGAGCTGATCCAAAGCCAGGAGCCAGGAGCTTCTTCCGGGTCTTCCATGTGGGTGCAGGGGCCCAAGGACTTCGGCATCTTCCACTGCTTTCCCAGGCCATAGCAAAGAGCTGGATCAGAAGTGAATCAGCCGGGACTCAAACCAGCACCCATATGGGATTCCGGCGCTGCAGGCCAGGGCTTTAACCCACTGCGCCTCAGTGTTGGTTGGCCCCAGGATTTTTTTTTTTTTTTTTTTTTTTAGTAGGGAAGTTTTTAGAGGCTGCATAAAAACAAAGCTAGCCCTGAAGCAAGGCAGACTACCTCTGTTCCTTTGACTTCTCTGGGATTTGAAGATCTAATCCCCGTTCTGTTGTATCCCCCCACCCCTCCGCTTCCAGCTGTTGTGAATGCAGAGCTATTTGCCTGTGAACAGTGATCACAGTGAAAGTTTGGCATGAAGGACTGGAGTGAAGATAAGAAGTGGCTCCTGGATTCCTGGTCATTCATTTTATCATAGTCACCTGCGAAGGCTGCCAGGCTAATTCCAGCTTTAACAGGCTCTTAAATCACTTTACAGCCTAATTGGACTTTCAGTATCTGAACACAAACCCGTTCCATCCAATCTTTGCTTCTTTATGTAAGAATATTTTCCAAAGTCCAGGATTGTTTTTAAACCCCCAAGATAAAGTGATATAATTTATAGTGTATGATCTGTGGTGTTAGCTATTTACACACACACACACACACACACACACATATATATATATGGTCCTACAAGCACTTCTCATCTTTTAGATATCGTGATACTGAAATTGGGAAATCTTAAAATGTTGGCTTAGTTGGTTAGAAATGGTTTGTTCCAAGTAGATTGAGACTATTTTCAAATGACATCCATTTTATAATCATTCAGTTGTGAACTGTCTTTGAAGAACACTCCCCTGCCACTGAACATGCTATGGAATAGAACTCAAAATTGTTATGGATTTTCTAAGTTAAACAGGAAATAAAACAATGTTACATTTTTTGGAGAGCATCTTGGACGATATCCTCACACCCGCAGACAGAAATTCACACTTGTCTCCCATCATCGATGGCTTCAGAAATCATGACCTGTAGGATAACACTCATTCTTGATAATGATGTACAAAGTCCCAGCCAGGCTGGGCCAGGTAAAGCAAGGAGCCAGGAGCTCCATTCCGGTCTTTCACATGTGTGGCAGAGGCCCAAGTTCTTAGGCTACTTTCCCAGGAACCTTAACAAGCTGGATCTGAAGCAAAGCAGCCAACGCTTGAAACAGCACTTTAATATGGGATGCCTGCATCACAAGCAGTGGCTTAACCCACTGGGACACAAATGCTGGCAACCAGAGAGAGCTCTTTGTGTGTGTTTTTTTTTTTTTTAACAGGCAGAGTGGACAGTGAGAGAGAGAGAGAGAGAAAGAGGTCTTCCTTTGCCTTTGGTTCACCCTCCAATGGACACCGCAGCCGGCGTGCTGCACTGATCCAATGGCAGGAGCCAGGTACTTATCCTGGTCTCCCACGGGGTGCAGGGCCCAAGCACTTGAGCCATCCTCCACTGCACTCCCTGGCCACAGCAGAGAGCTGGCCTGGAAGAGGGGCAACCGGGACAGAATCCGGCCCCCCGACCGGGACTAGAACCCGGTGTGCCGGCGCCGCAAGGCGGAGGATTAGCCTAGTGAGCCGCGGCGCTGGCCTAGAGAGAGCTCTTAAACATAGTTAAAACCAGAAACATTTAATACAAAAGGGAGTCAGTGTAGACTCCCTTTTTTAGATGTAGCTAAACTCAGAACCAAGGGGCCAGCGCTGTTAGGTTAAGCCTCTCCCTGCAGCACTGGCATCCCATATGGTTGCCAGTTCATGTCCCAGCTGCTCCTCAAATCCAGCTCTCTGCTTATAACCTGGGAAAGCTGTAGAAGATGGCCCAAATTCTTGGGCAACTGCATCCATGTGGGAGACCAGGAAGAAGCTCCTGGCTCCTGGCTTCGGATCAGCCCAGCTCCAGATGTCTGGGGAGTGAACCAGCAGATGGAAGACCTCTCTTTCTGTTTCTCCCTCTATCTGTCTGTACCGCTGTCTCTTAAGTAAATAAATAAATAAATCTTTAAAAAAAAATCACAACCAAGTTTTAGATAAAAGGTATATAAAAGTAATGGAAGGAGCTGGTGCTATGGTGCAGTGGGCTAAGCTGCCATCTGCAGCACCAGCATCCCACATGGGTGTCAGTTTGAGTCCCAGCTGCTCTGCTTCTGATCCAGCTCCCTGCTGGTGCACCTGGGATAGCAACAGAGGCTGGCCCAAATGATTGGGCCCCTGCACTCATGTGGGAGACCCAGATGACGCTCCTGGCTCCTGGTTTCAACCTGGCCCAGCCCCAGCCATTGTGCCCATTTGGGGAGTGAACCAATGGATGGAAGATCTCTCTTTTCTCTCTATTTCTCCCTCTCTCTCTCTGTAAATCTTTCAGATAAATAAATCAATCTTGGAGCCAGCACCGTGACACACTTGGTTAATCCTCTGCCTGCGGCGCCGGCATCCCATAAGGGCGCCGGGTTCTAGTCCCGGTTGCTCCTCTTCCAGTCCAGCTCTCTGCTGTGGCCAGGGAGGGCAGTGGAGGATGGCCCAGGTGCTTGGGCCCCTGCCCCGAATGGGAGACCAGGAAGAAGCACCTGGCTCCTGGCTTCAGATCGGTACAGCGCCGGCCGTGGCGGCCATTTGGGGAGTGAACCAACAGAAGGAAGACTTTTCTCTCTCTCTCTCACTGTCTATAACTCTACCTGTCAAATAAATAAGTAAATATTTAAAAAAAATAATAATGAAAGCACAGTAGTTGAGGAGCACTCAACATTCCCTAATTATGTGCATGTTTGGCCCCCAAACAGTAGCTGCAAATGTACTCTGTTTCTTGAGTCTTTGTTTTAGGAGCACCAGAATAGTTTCAAATTAAGACCCAGTGTATCCCTCTGATAATCCCTTCCTCTCTCCATTCCTCAACTCTCATAGCCATGATGAGGAAGGGTTGGGATCCATGTGACGGAGCGGGGCTCCTCTGGTCTTCCTGCACTGCCAGTCACTGCTTTGCTGCCTGCACACTGTGCTTTGCCACAGCCCACCTCAGCTCCTGGCGAGGGCAAGGGGCTGCCCTACGCAACTCCAGGTCAGCAAACTGGGGCGCCCACTGCTCGCAGTAATCCCCCAATCCTAAATCAGCGCACACAGAGATCTGGGAAAGAGAAGGGAGGGCTAAATCAGGAAGGAGCTGGCCTACAGTTGGGCCATTGCCATGACAGGGTGGAGACAAACAGCTCAGAACTGCTGCACGGAGCATGTGAGCTCTTTGGAAACAAAACAAACATGAGCCTCTGGTAATTCACAGAAATCTCCAAGACGGCATCCGACTCCCCACAAGTCACAGAATTATATGTTAAAGCTGACCTCATCTCAGCTGGGCAGAGGATCCAGTTGCCGCTGGGGCTCGTTACCAGGTACCTCCAAACCAAGGAGATGTTTTCACGGTGAGATCACACAGAGGCGTGGGCTTGGAGCAGGTTGCCCGGGTCTCCATCCTGACTCCCCTAGCAGTGAGATTTTGGGAAAGTCGCTCAACTTCTCTGTGCTTCCATTTCCCCACCTGTATCCGGGAACATTAATTGTCCCACCGCGATTCTGATGAGGATTAATTAAATGAGCTATACGGCAAAAGAGCTGAGAACACGCACGTCAGCTGTTGTTCCTGCAAGTTAATTTTTCCCCAGGGCACTACCTATTTTTCTACAGCTTGACTAATTGAGCATCGCCAGTATTGCAACTCCCAGAATGAGGCAAACTTTCTTGCTATACCACCTCTCCACCTCACCACCACCCACGCTCCTTTGAGCCTTTCTTACCTAGAAAATGTTTCTCTCAACTTCTTTATCTCACTACAACCAGCTCCTTAAAGACTGCACTCCAAAAGCATCCGCTCTGAGAAGGCTTTCCTGCCCTCTGTGGGCCGGTCAGGAGCCCCTCTGGCTGCTGCTTCCATCACACAGTCACCAAGGAGCCCCATCACTGCTGTGACCCAAAGCCCCCCCCCCCACCCCCCCCGGGCTCTGAATATCCAGTGCGGGACACACAGGAGGGCTGGGTGAATGTTCCCAGTGTTGGAACCATTCCTTAAATATTTATGCACAGAAGGCCGGCGCCGCAGCTCACTAGGCTAATCCTCCGCCTTGCGGCGCCGGCACACCGGGTTCTAGTCCCGGTCGGGGCGCCGGATTCTGTCCCGGTTGCCCCTCTTCCAGGCCAGCTCTCTGCTGTGGCCAGGGAGTGCAGTGGAGGATGGCCCAGGTGCTTGGGCCCTGCACCACATGGGAGACCAGGAGAAGCACCTGGCTCCTGCCTTCGGATCCGCGCGGTGCGCCAGCTGCAGCACACCAGCCATGCCAGCCGCGGCAGCCACTGAAGGGTAAACCAACGGCAAAAGGAAGACCTTTCTCTCTGTCTCTCTCTCTCACTGTCCACTCTGCCTGTCAAAATAAATAAATAAATAAATTTAAAAATTAAAAAAATTTATGCACAGAAAAATCTTTCAAAGAACCTTAAAAACGTCCCACTCTAAAAACACCAATGCTCTAACCTCTTTCCTACTGCTGAAACCTCATCATATAACTGCGCTAATAAAAACACTGTTTATTGGCCAGCTCCCAATTACAAAGAATGTGGTATTCAGACTTCAGGTATGTGTAATGATACCAAAGCCATGCAAGCCTCTAATCTCTTTGTTTTAAAAATACAATAGGGGCCTGTGCTGTGGCACAGCAGGTTAAGCCACTGCTTGCAACACCAGAATCCCATATTTGCCCTGGTTTGAGTCCTGCCTATACCACTCCAGTCCAGCTCCCTGTTAACGTACTTGGGAGAACAGCAGAAGATGGTCCAAGTGCTTGGGCCCCTACACACACGTGGAACACCAGGATCGAGCTTCTGGCTCCTGGCTTCATCCTGGCCATTGTGGCCATTTGGGGAATGAAAGAGTGGATGGAAGATCTCTCTTTCTCTCTCTCTCTCCCTCTCTCTCTCTCTGCCTCTCTCCCTCTGCCTCTCTCCCTCTTTCTCTGTAACTCTGCCTTTCATATAAATAAATCTCAAAAAAAAGAGAATACAATAAAAATTAGGTACTTTTCTGAAACACCCCAGACAAGTAAGGGTGTTAATGCCCAGAAGTTTTCTCACAGCGGAATGAGATCAGCTCTCTTTGACCTAGTGGTAGCACTGAGCTGGCTCCTGACAATTCTAACTTCGCTGACAGAACATTTGTTTGAATCAAAGACTCTTTGTGAACAAGAAATTAATAAGATGACTATTTTCAGCTTCCAACTGAAGAACAGCTCACACAACTTTCAAAGTGTTGGTAGACTTTAAGATCAATAACCTTTATTCTCGTTGCTAAAACCTTTAACCAGGCATAGACAAATGCTTTGGATTAAGAGGCAGAAGAACCTGTTCTGGTCCCAGCTTTGCTCAGTGTGTCTCACTGGACATTATCCTGTTTCACTAGGTTTCCGTCTGTCTGTCTGTCTGTAAAGTAATAATAGTAGTAGTAGACACTGATTAATGTTGAGCACCAGGCATGCCAGACATTGTTCCCAAAGCTTTGGGCATATTCACTCAGTGAATTCTTCCAAACAATCCTAAAAGTTGTCATCCCTGTTGCACAAATAAAGCAACTGAGGCAGAGAGAGTTTAAATAACTCACCCAAGGTTAGCTAATAAGTAGAGGAGCTAGGCTTCCAACCCAGTCTGGCTCCGGGGGCCCTGCTCTGGGCCAGAATGACCACTTTAGAGCCGGGACTGACGGTATCAGTTATCTAGGACTAGGATGGTATGCTGTGTTGTTCTCAGAGGGCCGCTGGGTTGCCTGGGAGCTGCCCCAGGCCACAGGAAGAACCGGGCCTGCAATGGCAGGCACGTGGGTAGGGGTGGACATGGGTGAAGAGAGGCCCAGTAGGAATGCAACTGCTGTGTGAACTATGGCCCAGCTGGATGTACAGGTTACCTTACCTTGCCAGAGGCTTTCTGATACTTTGACAAGACCCTGAAGGGCTGTGCACTTACTGCCTCTCCTCCTTATTTGTTTTTTAAGATTTATTTTATTTATTTGAGAGAGAGAGGTGGAGGTTTCCTGTCACTCTTTTACACCCCACATGGCTGCAATGGCCAGAGCTGAGGTGATCCTAAGCCAGGAGCCAGGAGCTTCTCCCACATGAGTTCAGGGGCCCAAGCACTTGGGCCATCTTCTGCTGCTTTCTCAGGCACGTTAGCAGGGAGCTGGATCAGAAGTGGAGCAGCCAGGACTTGAACTGGTGCCCATTTGGGATGCCGGTGCTGCAGGCCAGGGCTTTACCCCACTGTGCTACAGTGCCAGCCCC